TTTCTAATGGTCGACTTTTCGGTTTATCTGGAGGCTACGATTTTTCTTCGGAGCTACCCCTCGGAAATGACTACCAATGCGGGCCAAAATAGAGAGAGGAAAAATAAAAAGAGGGAAATCATCATTGGGGTGTCAGAACAATGCTTTACACGGAGCTTGTGAGTCTAGTTGCTGAGAGAGAGAAAGGCGATGTCAAACAAAGCAAAGCAAGGCAACACCCCCCACCCCCTCGTGAGAACTCAACAGGGAGAGAGTGTCTTTATGATCCCTGACACGGTAACATGCGTTCTCGGGAAACATGAATCATTCGCCCCGCAACAGTTTGGATCCCATCGAAGCGCGAGGAAAAAACCCCATCCCACCCACCCTTTCACCCCATTCTTCACCCAACTAGTTAGTTTGTTATCTTCTGCTTCGCAATGCCGGCTTATTTGAGGCCAGGGGACATCATCGACCTCTTCCCCCCCCCCCCCCCCCCATCGCCCTCTCTGTCTGTCTCTCCCTCTGCTCGGGGCTTGCACGACGCCACACAATATCCTCCCTTTCTTCGCCATCGTCGTCGTCGTCGTTGTTTCTCCGTAAGAGGACAAGACGCGACGGGAGAGACATGTTTATGGTCAACCTGGCTCTCTCTCTCTCTCTCTCTCTCTCTCTCACTCTCTCAAACCCTCTCCCTCTCCAGCTTGTTGATGTGGTTGCCCCCTCTTGTTTTGCTCTTTCCCTTTTAGGTTTGCGGCACTTGCAACATGTTCATCCCAAGTTGGTGGAGTTGGTTCTTAGTATGTAATAGACATTGTAGAAAATGGAGGAAAAAAAACGACAGAAACAAGACACAAAAGAGTGGCCTTTGTGGTCATCTATAATTACACAACGATTTGAATATGAAGAGTGTTGTAGCTTGTCAAGACTAATGTGGGAAAGGAAAATCGTTACTTGACATTCTTTGTTATGATGTTCAATGCTTGTTAAGGAATATATTTTGTGCTCTCAGTCAATTTTACATGTTGTGGCGTTTTTCAACCAGCACCCATTCTGTTTCGTATCACCAAATTTGTGTGAATTTACATGTGTTAACTGGATTATAAAATCTCCTCTGTGAAGTTATTTCAAAATCTAACTTTTGAACCCCCCCCCCCGAAAAAAAAAATAAAAAAAAGAGGAAAAAAAATTAAACAAACAAAAAATTCAAAATCTAAGGTTGAGAACTTATCTACTTTTGCTTTTATTCTCATGTTGCACTTTAGTAAACTGTGGGTGTTGAAACATCGGAACAATGTGGAATGTTGTATTAAAAGCAATGCAAAATGAATGAACGAAAAAATCGTTATGGATGAATGATGCATGTTATCCCCTTTGGATGAGAGCCTCGTCTGCACACTCAAAACTGAGATGGATGGATGCTTGGGTTTCAAAAAGGGAATTGAGTAGACTGGTTTATTTAGCTCTCTATTTTTGTCACCTTCTTTACTCCTATTTCTTCTACACGGAATCTGCAAGTCTCATCATTGAAGAATGTACCATTAACAGCACTGTTTGTCTGTTTGATTTTTTAAGAAATAAAATAAAACTAAAAAAATAAAAAACTTCCTTATTCTATTATATTAAAAAAATTAAAGCTGCATTATTCTAAATTTTCCTTTCCCCATTAACAAAAGACTCATCATTGGAGAATATAGTGAGAGGGATCTCCATAGATCTACTCGTGAATCTTTTAAAAGCAGGTGAGGACATTTCCATTTTCTTTAGTGAATTAAATTCCCCTTTAAAGTGACTTTTAAATTTAGAGAGACTTCGAGGCCCTCAATTACCAACAGAAGTTTTGATTCCCATTCCTAAAGGGTGAACTTCCCTAATTGCAGGTTCTTCTTGCCATTTGAAAATAAGGGCTTGGTTATCTTATGGTGGAGCATGCAAATAGAAATATATATGCAACATTGATTGTTGTGATCAATTCATATATAAACCAGTGTTGCACTTTTGCTTGCAAATATTAATTGTTTCAAAATTCCTTTTTTTAATGGGATATTTTGGTTAAAGAAATAATAATCAGAGAAAAATGTTTTGTCAAATATATATATATATATATATATATATATATATATATGTGTGTGTGTGTGTGTGTGTATTTATTCGAAGGAATGTTTTGGTAAATCAGCATAACTTTTTTTTATAACAGTGAGCATATTTTTTTGCTTAGCACATGCTAACATGCCCAGTGCAAGGTTTGCCCTTGTAGGAAAAAGAAAAGAATAGAAGAAGGGCATCCAACAGCTGTCCATTTGAAAATCATCACATGAGAAAACAACATGGAAGCATATTGATTTGTGTGTGTATGCATATACATAATTTCTTATTGTGTTTGTGTGTGTATTTGAGACAGCCTTGTGTTCCATCACCTGAAAAGTCAGCACTACCTTCCTTTGCGCTTTTCTTTCAACACTCTGCTTTCTATCCTATTTTGAAAACACTGAAAAAAGTAGTCTGAACTACTTCAGTTTGTGTTAGTGTTTGTGTTTTTTATTTTTATTTTTATTTTTTTATGTGGCACTTTGAAATTCAGACTTCAAAATATCAACTCAGATTGTAGAATTTGGGGCTGCACGAAATATCTTGCATACAAGCTGGGAAACTTATGCCAGGTATGCTCTTCCACCTGATTTTCTCTCTACCATCCTCATCTACAATTTGTTTATGGTTTTCAATGCTATTTTATTACAACACATGAATAAAATTTTATAAACAAAAGAAAATACCAGTGTTTTGACTATGACCATGAAAACCAGACAACAATTTAAAGGATTACGACAAGAAGAGAATTGAGTTAATTGAAAAGAACTTGAGAAACTTATATGAGTGGAATAAATTACAAGGAAATTTGATGAGATTTCGATCGGGCTACAGTGGCCGGAGAATGAAAGAGTTCAACCAATGTGGAACGCACAGCCTGTTTCCGTGAAAAGCAGTGTAACTTGCAGTTGTAAATCCACCATTCCTAGCAATACTGAATATAGCCAACTTGCAGCGTTTTATGATTATCTTCTTTATTTATTTATATGAAGCATGATATCCTCAAATCAATATCTAGAGAATAAGTCTTCTAGAGGCATCTACTGACTCCTGCGACTAGAGTCCAGATAAGTGACGCGAGCCACCTTTATTAAAATTAGAGTTCACGTTTGTAGGGAAAAGGGGCAGAATAACGCAAGAATAGAACACCATGGCCGAGACGGAATTTTATGATCCAGATGTTGGAACATTGAACTGGCACCATGCAAAATGATGTTGGCTATGGCAACACTACTGGAGGATTGTTTGGAGGTTGCCCCTGCTGCAAAAATAACAACAGCAGCAGCAGCCTGAAAAAGTGCAGTGGTTGTCATCAGAGACTGCTTCAAACTTCCAAAACAAATGGTTGCAATTTGATTTTTCCATTTCAGGAGCTGAAACCACAGCTTTGTCTTTTGTTTTCAAATGGGCACAACTCAAAATAAGCAGGTCACTAGAATGTTTTCTATCCATATGCGTCCAGTTTGGCCCAGAGCTTGCTTTAGCTTTCTGCCATCTAAAATATTGATGCGCTTTTGTATTCCTGGCACCTCTTGTTGCGGTGGATCCTAGGGGATGGATATCACAACTATTGAATCCAAGGTGGGTAGATTCACACGGAGTGATGAAGACACTGAGAGTTCATTACCTTTGACGATGCCATAAAGCACACGCTTTATTAAACTTGCTTCCTTTCTAGCCTTTGTTGAAGGCAGCCCAGCATTATTCACTTTCCATTGACAAAAGAAAACATAAATGTAACGTTAGACGATGAAGAAGAGAAAGGCGGATGAAATCTTTTCCAGAGCTCGCGCTGCTTCAGATTTGGGAACAGCGGGACCGTGATTTGTTTTTCTTCTTTCTTTATTGTTAAAATTACCTATCATTTCAACTGATTTGTGTGACGATTCTTGTTGCAATAGATAGTGAACACAAAGCCTGACATTGAAGGGGTTGAAAACGTTTTTCGCATTGCTGCTGCTGCTTACATTAGTTAAAAAGTTCCTCTCACCAAACCCAGTAGCAGCTTTCTTTCTTAAGTCGGAAAGGGGTGCTGGCATAGTAAACATAAACCTTGCGAATGGACAAGACTAGAAACCTGGTCTTTCTTCTGGAATCCCATAAGTGTTACAAGGATCCAGTTTTCAACGAACCCAAATAAATTGACAGAAAACCTCGGGATCGAAACCTGGACGTCATCAAATCACCCCCGTGAGACGAGGTGGAGGAGTGTCAACTCGTCTGAAGCGCTGACACAAAGCCTTCATGCTTTCAAAGCACGGTGCTTGATGTTCTATATATGTTTATATATAGTTACTCCGTGCTGTATTCTTGTGCACTGTGGACCACCACGGTAAGTTCTAGTTATTGATTAATGCATGACTAGCCAGACTTGCAGTCCGTGTAATTTGCAGCAATACAATAAGACACCCTGGCCACTAGAAACCCCCCCGCCCGTTTAATTCAATATGGCGACAAATTGAACAGTCCCCTCGTGGCTGAGCGCATCACACCAACGAATTGGATATGCCTGAACTTCGTTACATGTGGTTGTGATGATAATATTTGCAGCACTGTATATTCCGTGCAGTAAAAATTCCACTTCTCAACAGTGTAATTGAGTGACAAGGAGAATCAAACGGGGAGAGCGTAGACACTTGGGGGAAACACATCGCCTGCTTGTGACCTCAGTGCATAAATATGCATATGTAAAGCTGAGCCAAGGAGGCTCAAAAGTAGAGGGCCCCACTTGGAAGACATAGCATAAAATTTAGTAAGATTCATGTTTTACCCGGAATAAGCCAGGATCTGAGCGGTAATCATGCGCGTTTGTCATGAGCACGTGATTGGCCAGCCAAGTTCAATCCGAGGAGCGGCATTGGGTCCGTCATTATAGGCCACTGCTACAGCCTTTTCGCGTTCATAGCCCTCCTCGCTTTTCAAAGCTGTGATGCTCATCCGCACTCCCTACATAATCTTAGCACGGTATGTATCTTCTCTGCTCCAGTAGCCCTTCCACGACACCGCCGTAGAGATTTGCCCACTCCTCTCTCTCTCTCGCTCTCCCTCTCCCATTTAAGATCTACATACTCAAGTGCAGTGTAGTTCTCGAGAATCTGACGATATGTTCAGTAGTTTCTCCAATTTTATGCTGGATGTCTAGTTCAATCCTGTAGATCAGGTTCAGGCACTGTTGCACTAGCTCTCTCCAACTTCTTGGAACAGGTGCAGATTCAATGCGGTGAAGATTTGTTCGAGCTAAATCTGGAGGTTCTGGACAGGCTGCGATCGATTGGTGCGCGGAAGGAGAGAGTAGATTCCGGCCTCGTAACAAGACTCGGCGTGGTCATCTCTCTGGAGTCTCGTCACTTGGCGTGTTGAAACTGAACTGCACAGTGGATTCGTAGGTCTTAGAGGGTCACACATCACAGGTTTGTAGCGGTAGTTGTGACCGAGTAGTAGTTCATGACTAGGTAGGGTGCGAAGGTGCGACGAAGGATTTTCATGAAGCTGGAAATAGTCTGTCTTCAGGTTTCTGATTTCAACTCCTAACAGTTGTCACTGTAGAAAGTTTTTTGCGATCGTCGCTCGTGTGTGGAGGATTGTATCGATTTCGAAGAGTCGGTGAGGATGGCAACCAAGGTGGCAAACAACTCGGTTGCCATTGCTATGGCTTTTGCAGGTCGCTCCGCGCGCGCTTGCGATGTGTGTGCCACCAAGGGTGCTCACTGGTTCTGCGCAGCTGACGACGCCTACTTGTGCACCGCCTGCGACACCCAGGTTCATTCTGCGAATGCACTCTCTCTCCGTCACGAAAGGGTCCGTCTCTCACCGAATGGAACCCCCTTGAAATCCAAAGCATCTAAGGAGGAGGAAAGATGTGGTGACCATCACCACAAGTCGAAGAAGCAACATCCATCTCCGGCGCAGGTTCTGCCTTCGCGAAAACGGCCAAGAACAAGCAGGCCTTACTCCCAGCACTTGAAGAGGCTGACCCAGATATCATCTCAAATGGTCCACAAGGTTGTCAAGTCCGAGGATAATTCATTTGCGGCAAAAGCCGAGTTGGAGTCGTTCGATTTCCTCGAGACAGATGAATTCCTTAACGACGGAAATCAGGAGGTTCCGTCACTGTCCCCAGCGGCAGAGCAAGAGTCATCTCCTTGCTCCTCTGACTTCGAAACTTTGTCGTTTGACTATGAATTCCAAGCCGGAGATCACTCGGCTTCAGCAGACTCATTTTCTGGCTTTTTCAAGGGAAAGGCAGCGCAGACTCACAACGTTCTTGACGATGGGGACCAATTTCTTGTCCCCGATACATTCAACTTCACTCTCGATGCCGAAATGCCGGACTCTACCGCAGCGGTCCCTGCCGACAGCAACATTGATCTTGCAGGAGACGCATTCTTTTTCCCGGGTGACATTCCTGGACTGGACGGATTTGAGAGCTTCGTGCCCGACATGAACATCAGTGACGATTTCAGTATGACTTTCAACCTTGCACTTCAAAATGGTGTGGAGGCCTTTGAGGGAGATGCGGTGGCCACCACAGGTATATTCCTCATTCAATGATCCTGTCAACATTTTATATGCCTGTCATCAGCAGCACATTTGTAAACCACGCTGACCATGTGAGTTACTCTTGTGTACAGAATGACTGATGGCATTGCTTTTGTGATCACAGGTTCAGCACTGGAGGCTTGTCAGCTTGGACCAGAGCCCGACCGGTTCATCACTGGCCCGTTTGCCAGGTTTTTCGCTCAGAAGATGAAAGCTAAGTTGTCGGAGCCGATGTGTGCGGAGAGGATCAAGAGCGAAGCGAAGGAGATGCTCAGGTGCTGCCGTGAAGGAGAAGACGAAGCCCAGAGAGTACCAACGTTGCAATTGAACTTGGCCGATGTGCTCACTGCCTGGTCTAACCGAGGAGAGCCGTGGATCGACTACAGGATGCCGCAACTAGCCCCATCCGAAGACTCCAACTCTTCTGGCAGCGACGTCGGGCTCGTTCCCGACATGGATGCTGCGACCGTCGATGACATCCTGAGTGCTGGAGACCGCGACGCCAGAGTGCTCCGCTACAAGGAGAAAAGACGAACTCGCCTCTTCTCGAAGAAGATCCGGTACGAAGTGCGCAAGCTTAATGCGGAGCGACGGCCCCGCATGAAGGGGCGATTTGTCAAGAGGACAGCCCTGTGTGCGTAACCACTCAACTTAATCTGTCGACATGAATCAGTTATCGTGTAACATCACCACTCATCTATCGCTATCCATGTTTTCTGGATCAACCAGCTGTGCTCAGGTGGAGTTGGCCCTTCTTGTAGTTAAGTTTGGTATATCAACCAACAGGTTGTCATCCGGATGTGACATCCCCTACGCTAGCAGTTGTGGGAGCAGCATCGCACAGGTTCCTGAGGTTGCTTGGATGACTTCCAAGTTGATATCCGAGATGATATCAGCCGAAATTTTGACCCCTTTTGCGGAAGGTTTTGCGAAGTTGTATTTGAAGGTGGAGGTTGCCGCGGCGTCGTGTATCATAAAGTTTTTCTTTGCTGTGTTCTGAGTGTGATAGCTTTGTCAAGATAAAAAATATCGAAGGTGAAGGTTTACAAGAAATTTTGCTGTGCCCCATGAGTAGTGTATGGGAGCAGCAGTGAACCTTTTTTGCCACCCTGCGGTGGTTCAATCTAGTAGTCAAGTCACATGCAGATTCACGTGGTACCGCACCTCACGTGGTTTTTGAAGGTGTGTCCGCATCGACCATAGCGTTCCCAATGGTTTAGTTTCAATTTTGGCTCCGAACTGGAGTTTCAATTCTGATAGGGATGAATAGAGGTGTTTGATCTTTTATCTGTGAAATCTGCTTTTGCAGTGTTGAGCATAAAGCCGATCTTCTGTCTGTTGAAAACAATTCTGATTTGTTTTGAACATGGTGATCGCTTCTGCAACATGCACTTGTCCAAATGTACACATTGTTGATAAATTGCTTGCATACGGAGTTACATTTCGACACAATAAGATGTCAGTCAGCTGCACTTGTAAATCGAACTGTATTATATCATGTACAAAATCTACTCACATCCTGTGTAAAATTTTCTCCGCTGTTAGTCCAGATATTGTACCTATTACACTCTGTTGAGAACATTCCATAAACCTCTTGTTGACAACTTACTCAATACAACTATATGTGTGGTAAAGAAAGTCCCTGGTACATCTCCCGATGATTATTCAATAGATAAGCTTACAAACTAGATCTTTCATATGTCACTGTACATATGTTTTGCATACGTCAAACACGTTCATGTGTGAATGTCTCAAACTTTCGGTCATATCGTGCTAATAGCACTGTCGACTTTGTACTTGGTAACAATCAATCAGCAATCACTTTGTCACAGTATCATCAATTTCTGACAAAATGGTACACAATGAAAATTCAGAGGTGTGGTTCATAGACAAAGCGTTTGTCTTCCACTAGATAGCACTCAGTAAATGTGCTCAGTGACCACAGATTCCTTCATGATGACTTCCAATATTTCTGATCTGGCAGAGGTTGATCTAAGACCGAAATCTCAGTATGACCTGAGTAACTGGATTCTCAAAATGCACCAATTGCAGGAAAACTTCAAACAGGTTTCATGAGAAAGGTTAAGCGCAGGATTCAGGGCCTGCATGTTTTCGGAAGATGAAGGAAAGTGTTCTAATACAAGATATGATCATATCCAGTGTTGTTCTTCGCGGCCGTCGTGCGTGCACAGCAGAAAATATAATGCTACTAAGTCTGTGAACTCTCTTTTATATCTGGATAACGTGTTCTGGATTACTTCTCCGACAGCCAGCCACGACCTTCGCAGTTCGGACAGCCGCGACCACCTGAGCATGTTGCACAGTAACTCCACTTCTTCGCCAGCCTGTCACAAAGTAGAGAGGACGGGTCAAAAATCTTCACCATCCTGAACCTAAAATGCTGGTAACAATAATGGGTTCATGGGCTCACTAGCATCCTGACGACTCAGCTCTTTGATTGAGATCAGACACTTACCCAGCAGTGTAGCGGGTGGCAGCGTCTTTAGCAGAAGCTCGTGCCTTCGCTGCAGCATCTTTAGACAGGTTCTTCATCAAGAACCCATCCCCGTTGCATTCTGGACAGATTCCTGAGCCTTTACATTCTTCACATTCCACCTGCAGATCAACAGTTCCACAAATAAGGCTGCATACCACATATGACCTGAACTGTCGGGTAGATACTGAAATCCCAACTGGGGACTCTACCATAACCAGACCTTGAATACTGATGGATCTCGCTTGTGATTGATGCAAACAGCTAAAAGCCCCTTACACTAGTAGCCACTGAGGTAGTTGATAAGGTATTACTGGCTTACCCTGGAGATTTCTGGTAGAACCGGCAACTTTTCCTTCCGTAATATAGACACTACAGCAGCCCCCACTACCACCAATGTTACAGCAGCAGATACAACAACAGGAACGGCCTTGGTAACCACCCTTGATCTCTGCTGTCCATGTTGTCTACCAGGTTCTGCAACCCTAATACTTGCTCTACATGGCAAAAAAAATAAAATAAATAACACCCTCACGGTCAACTTCAGTGAGCTCAAACTAGCTGACAACCGTACTCTTACATTTGTGTAATATAATTTGCGGACGTCACTAAGAAAGTTGATATAAAAAATACGAAAAAACTTTGAATCATTTCATGTAATAGATTACCTAGGGACAGCAAAGGGTCAAGCGTACACGAAGATCACCTTGTGTTAACTCGAAGCCTAGTGCCCTGAAAACCCAGAGACACACGAAGTCGCCAGTTAATCATACAGTGACGATAGTTTCCTAATCAGCTAACCCTATTCTTGCATTGTTTTTTAAAACCTAACAGTATGTATTAGTATTAACATCAGGCCTAGGGTTTATAATGAAGATGTCCAGCTACGGAAACAGCCACGCGGAATTTTAGCAATTGGTTTTCATTGAAATTGTTAGAATATCTGAAGTACAGTAAATGAACTCAAACCTTGAGCTTTGGGCACTTCAACGTCCGCCATAAGCTACCCGCTCCATTAAATTCGACCTGAAGCCCTGCGCTTCTCTCATTTAAGCAACGTTAAACCCCAGCTGAAAGTACACATCCACAATCTACAAAAATGATATTCTCCGCATGGTTGCGAATCACTAACCCTCTTGAGATTTGGTTCAATCCAATTACTCTTTTTAAAAATCCAATTCTGCTCGTGATGTGAGTTGAACCGCTCTGCACAGTTACTTCGACAGTGCAATTGTGTGCTCGAGAAAGGCAGATTCGAACACAGGGACTACCCCCGAAATAAGCGAAGATAATCGCAATAAACTCAAAAGCCTCGACAATCCAGCACCCGCTATACCCACAAGATTCAAGTCACGGACAGCCCTATACAAGACGCTCAAAGTAATGTACCAAACACACGACCGATTACAACAGAGGCACAAAGTGGAACACGCATGCAAAGCGCTGCAACAACGAACTCTCTTGAAATTCAGCCACAAATCCTCGTGAAGTGTGGAAGTGCAGAAACAGGGTCTTGGGAGTGTCACCTGCGCATGATGGAAGTGGCGTCAGGAGAGCAGGAGCCGCCATAGCTCTCGTCTCTCAGCAGCATGCAAGCTCCCAGCAACAGCAACGACGAAAAGCCCAGTTCCCTCTCTCGCTGTCTCGCTCCACCAACGGCAGATCACACAATTGGCCAAAGGTGACAGTTTTGGATAACAGGGCTCTATCCTTTGAACAGTGAACGGCGAAGTGTGCCAACACTGGGCATTGGGTTCCTTCACAAATCTCTCGACCAGCTACGTTTTCCTTGTAAAAATGCACCACAACCATGTCCAACCTCTTCTGCCGTTTTAGCCACGTTGTACCCATCGTTGAAGTTTGTTGATATCACTTGGATATGCGGTGGCATGTTCTGAACGATTTTCTACGCCGCCTTTGGATGGGATAGATTTTGGATATCTGAAGGTGGTGTGCAGAATCTGATCGGGTGTAGAGTTAGCAATCAGTGGTGAATGATTAGTGGTATCTTAATTAGCATGGACTGCGTAGAATCATCGGTGTTTCGTTTGCTCTAAGAAATGCATAAATGTATTTGCAACTTTTTACGTACGTAGCTTTTGTCAAAGGTGAAAATATAGTGGTTAAAATCATAGATGTTCCAATTTTTTTTCTGATTTCATTTATTATTTTGTGTCTATATATGTAGATGTGTTCTCAATTGTTATTTTGGTTAAACATTACAACTGGTAAATGAAAACGTGTTTTTCCCTTTGATGGTTCTAAGTAAGCTATTAAATGCTATTTTATTTTATTTTATTTTTATACAATATGTTAAAAAAAAAGTGTAAGGACATGTGAAAAAGAAGAGAGATAATTGTGTAAAAATAGTAAAAGATGGCATTTTTAACCATTCACCATCACATCATTGTGTAAATTCACAATCAACCTCACATTAACAAATTCTTTCAATTATTCTAGTGCAGTGTAAAGAATATTACAATAGGAGGTGGCAACCATATTGAAGAATACAATTAAAAAAATCCAAAATAATTTCTTAATCTTGGAAAAAGAAATAATATAATATTTTTGGTACAAACTATAATTGTATAGAAAGATGAGAGTAGAGAAGAGAACCTATTTCTTTCTATTCATCCACTAAATAAAAGAAGTAATTAGATAACTTGCATGACGATCTTTTTATTTTTAACATTGCACAAATATATTATATGTTATGCTTCACTTTGATACACCAAATAGCTTCACAAAGATGAACAAGCAGCATCAAACGTGCTGCTCATGGACTGAAGGACCTGCCAGACCTGCCAAATACACTTTGCGTCTGAAGAAAGAGGGAACCAATTTATACCAAGAGCATCATTGCAATGAGCAAGAATTATTTATTTCACCTCAACTCAATTAGGTATCAATAGATGAGCAAAGAGTGGCAGGATGGATTGGGGCAGGTGATGCCCATAGCAGGCATTAATGGTGATTTGACAAAAACTTTGTGGGGGTCTTTAGTTATGAATGCTACACGCAAGCAGATGGGTAAAACGTAATAGTATACATTGTGAGGATACATACAAACACATTAAGTGTGAAGAACTGCTAATTGACTACAATGGGAGAAGGTTTTAGACAGAGGCGCTCCTGCCGGATGTTGAATAAACAGTCAACAAGTCGAGACACAAAAGGTAACATCCTCTTTCAACATGTTAGACAAGGAGCTCAAATACTGATGCAGAACCCAGGGACAACCAGATCCCAACTATCACTTTATACAGACCAAGAGGGCTGAAACTGTGCCCGGATCAATACAACAAAAACAGATTGCTCTATAATACCAAGCATTCATTCTCCAACTTTTAGGCGTAACTGTGACTACCACACTCCAGTAGAAGTCTGACGCTCCATTATAATCACCACTATTGTTGTGCCCGGAACCATTTTCGACGCCAGACCTCTCTTTTCACAAGTAGTGAATCATAGATTGAAGCCAATGTGTGCACAAGTTACCAGGTGGCTACAGACAACGATGAATACAGCACATATGCAAATCAAGTTTTGCGGAGGCCATGGAAGAAGCGGCGTTTCTTGGCACGCGAGTGACGGCCTTCCTCTCTCGTCGCTACATGGTGCTCAAACCTAAGCTGCATTCTCAGAAAATTTTGAAGTTAGAAGGTGAGGATATAGATGGATTGCTATAGTATACAGATTTTCAGAAACGTGAAAATATCAATGGAGAAGATACGCTGAACCGAGCCATTAAACGAAAGTAACCCGAACCTAAAACTAAAAAGTAGATTGATGAGGACGGCATTATTGATGATCTCCACTAATCCATACCTCGTCGTTTTTTCTAATTCCAAAATCATGAAGTCGAGCATCGTCATCTAAGAGCTTCTCCTTTCCATAACTCAAGCAGAAGTGGTCCCATACATGCTTCCTGCGATACGAGCGAGTAGGAAACACTGAGCTCTTCATGCAACTGAAACCTAAGGCTTGAAACAACTCCGCAACTTCTTTTCACATCTGCTGAGAGGCTAGGTTCAAGACCAGATCTGAAGGGCAAGAATTTCTCACAACGACGCATATCGTATCAAGCAAACCCAGGTTTATTACTGACCATGAAATGTGTCTTTGGCCAAGATGCGACTGCTCCTGGAAGTCAACGTACTTCATGACTGCTTGCTTCAAATCCCTAACTTTGGCATTGTTCAGCACTGCCACCTCTGGCATCAAAGCAAGTCCAACCAGATCTTCAAACATGAGAATTTGCACATAGATTCTGACGCGAATACGATCTCGATGCGGCGTCGTCAACGGAGTAGCTACTTGTAAAACATGTTCCGCAACACTATAGAACTACGGTGATGCAAGTCTGATTACGATCATGGGCAATGAAAGACTATTTCAAAACACAATCTCAGCCACAGCAGCGCATCAGAAACTTTCACACGGATCTTCTATTCCTGAAAAATGGCGTCCCAACCTAAATTTATAATGTGGAGCTCCTAAGCCTGCAGACAGTTCTGGGAGGGATTATGACCGAGACAAAATTCGGATTCTGATCTAAGCCCTTCCGCACATTTCATTCAATTCCATATTCAATGTCAATGAGTTTGTGAAGCATGATTATGGAGAATTTCGGTGTTCTACTTGTGGGCGAATGTATCTACAGTGTATGATTTGCAAACATATGTGTCAGTTGTCTACAATCGCGAAATTGGCTTTTCGATGATGGATACGAATCTAAATTACTCCAAAGAAGAATCCAGGAACAAGGTAGAGAAGGGGATACCAAGGTGGCTGCCGTCAAGCTTGAGAATGGATAGTTTCATGGCACTCCCGAGCTCCACCCCAATCAAGGTGTCAATGTCCGCCACCGTAGCATTTTTGGGCACATCAGCCAAAATTGGATCGTCTAGCAACGTGGATACCAAAGGCTCAAACTGGCTCCTCCTGAAATAAGTCCCCAAATCGCCTCTCATAATACCCAACATCCTTCAAGTTACAAAAAGACTTCCAACAACTCTCGGCGCAGCAAAACTCAAACAAAAGGGGCGAGACCCTAAACAGTCTTCTCTAACCTCATAGTTCGATCAACTTGGAGGCAGAAATTAAATCAATTCCCCACCGGCTCTCTCTTGTCAAATTCTCACCACAAACAACAATCCAACAATCCAACAACCCATAATCCCGAAATCTAGCCCTGAACATTCCAAATCCGCCACAAGGGATGGAAGTGAAGTAAAGGAAGGCCAACGCATCGTATTCCAAGCCGTCAACTGAGAGGTTTCCCGGAGCCGGGAGCATAAACCGAAACCCAGAACCTTGAGAAGATTCAATTCTTAACGTCACTCACTGCAGGTGTAAATGATGATGAATAGGTAATCGACTACGGGATGGATGAGAGTCTTAAAATCATAGATTACTATAATCTGTAAGAATTTTGCAGGATAAATAGAGACAAAGGGCAAAACGGTTGTAGGGCCAGGTGATGGAGAACTGCCACCACGGGGTGAACGGCTACATTCAGATTGCGCAGTCACACTGCCGCGCAGGAGGAAGTGCAACATATCATGGTTACCGTTGGGTGCTGCCACAAGCAGGTTGCATCACTGAGCAGGCGACCAAGATCTTGCTGCTCTGAACACAGAGCAAGTTCACGAGACCCTGTCCGAGATTGGAAAGTTGTATTCTCACTAGAAAACCCCAAATTCTAAATCATGACACACTGAATTTTTTCACATTAAGCCCAAGCATCTCGAACCTTTTTCATATTTAGAATCTTCAACATTAAATGGCGTGAGGTGTGTTCAACCAAATACGTGTATTATCTCAAAGTTGAAATGGGTGAAGAGATACAGTGAGAGGATCCCATGAAGTTGGGACGATAGTGCGTTTCCAGTGATGCTTGACCGTTATGCCAACCTGTTGAAATAAACCGAACTTCACACGTATCTCAAAAAATGCAATGTTTTTCACCACTAAAGCAGGCAGAGAAGCAACAATTATTCTGATTTGTTTTCTTGTAGCAGCTTGTAGCTACACAATGAGTGGCTATTTGCGGTGATAGCAAGCAATTGGTTGAAGAGACGTATCATCTTAAATAGTAAAAGGGAGACTAATTGCCCAAGTCAATTTATCCTTCCTACTTGTAAAATATTACATGTGAAAACTGCCCAATTGAACAATTACATCAAGGAAACACCTAACCAATCACTATAACTGTCACTAGACTCGTGATCGAAAGAACTGCTTGAGGTTGTTGAAAACTCCTTGATCGTACGGATTCACAAACTTCTTGCTTCTATATGGTCGATCTGCACAATTCATAAGAAGTGGTCAAATGAAACACCCACTTCAGAACTAGTCATGCAATTGATAATCTGATCTTTGATAGGAATCATACATTAACTCAACCACTTCCAGAGCCGTGATTAGTACATGTATATAGTGACCAATATTTATGCACTTATGGGTCATGAGAGCGTTTGAAAAATTTCTGACCAGGACTAACGGGTAGCTCGATGTACAGGTATGGATATCTCTCCCACTTGATCTGCATAGTTTGTAGAAGCAAATTAGCACCTAAAAAAATCTTATAATATACATAATTAGAGGTGCTTAACATAAACCAACACCACACATGCCGTGATATTCTGGCTGTCATCCATATTTGGGTTACGAAACAAAGATCCGAATCTGCGCTGTTGGCCATTTCAAAAGATTCTTACCCATTCACTTGTTGTGAGATTAACTGAAGCACAGTAGACGTGAAACAACAGCAGGAGCACCTGAAGAAGTAAATGACAATGCAGATACTATCAGACTTCCAATTTCTATTACACTCATGTTTTTTGACGGTAGTAATTGAATCGATCAAAAGTACAGCAAACGTTCGAAGTAACAACTCTGGAGAAGGTGGCGAAAATCTCAGTCGTGTACCTGCCAAAAGGCTTGGAATGCAGCGAAAACAGCTGAGATGGTTACCCACGGCACTGTGCTCATCACCTGAATAGATTAAACGGAAGATCTCATTATTAATATAAAATGACTATTGATGCGTCGACAATCCCTACAAAGTCAAAATGCATCGTCCACAGACACTAAAAAACTAACGTTTCCTCCTGGACTTCTGTAATTCAAAAGACAGAAGTTTGTTACCTGACAGGAAATGAGCCATACATGCTCCAGCCCTCGAAGCCCTGTTACAAAAACTTCCCTAGTGATGAAAGTAGCTCCGCTCACAAATGACATGTTCAAATAGAAGGTACATATTTGCGTAACGAAGTAACGAACATGTGAACTGACCAGAGGCATCCTAGTGGAACTTGCCACAATTGCTATGTGTATGATTAATGCTTAAAATAAATGGAGGATTAACAAGGTCTGGAAATACACACAATCTAAGAATCAAAGGTGCACTCACCAATAGGAGTTGACGATGGCACATCTTTCGCAACGGCTAGGAGGTTAAGATACTCAAAATCTGAGTCGTAACCACGAGAGAAAGGTCATTAGACCACTACTAATCTATAGATCTGGCTATTCAACAATGCAGGTTGCAGATTAGGAATAAAAACTTGAGAAACATAGAGCTTCAGCGTGCTATGAGGTACACTCATGTCAAGCAACACTTTCAAGAACACACTTATATATGCACATATTTGTTCTGAGAAAGGTAGAGATAACCGGAGAGCACACATTTGAAGCAGCATCGGACGTACAGCACCTCCGCTACGATGAAAGCTGTGAGAGCGCCCAAAAAAAGAACATGATTCTTGCGACCTGGGAACAATCCGCCAACCATGTACGTAGTTCAGAATATGAGAAGATAACACTTTCAACATAAAAACCTTTACTTCATGAAATGTATTCGGGCGTCAGTCATAATCTACAGAATGATGCTCACTTAAATTCGCGCTTGCAATCAGATTGATTGAAATTTTGATGTCTTAAATGCTCCTACATTGCACAATTCAGTAATTTAAGTGTGTACATCCAAAAGCTTACCAACACAATTCTTTATAGCAGGGCAGTGATGATCAAAATGGTCAATCAATGCATTGCACTTCCGACAATATCTTGAACGTGCTGGCTGCTACACAAACAATAGTTGTAAGGAACATTAATCATTACACAAATACATAAGATGCTAGAACTGTTACACTTGAAAATATTCCAGATTCCGCCTCAAAAGTACCTTATGAAATCAATCAGTTTGCTATAACGTGACAAAACAATGACAATTACAAGGGCAAATGGCTTGAATTTTTGAATGATTCATAAAATTTGGGAAGCAGTGTGTCAACCGCTCAAACCCCAAATATTGATGACCAGTGCCAGTATTTATGCTGCATATAGATGGAGAGACTGCATCCACGAAAATCGGCAGCGATCTACGATATAGATGAGGTACCCCTGATAGTTTAAGTCATTGTTGGTCCAGAAGATCAGAAATTTCGACAAGCCAAGCCAATTGAAAATACCAATGGCTTGAGCGAATGTGCTTCTGGGGCGTGTACGCCACCTTCGGTCACTTCATTAGTTACTGAATTTTCCAGCGCTTGGTGAGATTCTCCAGTTTCAAGGTCCGTTGCTTTAAGCGGTTCCTGTTCGAGGACTCATGTGTTAATCGGAATATATGCATGAATATACGGGTATCCTCTTCAGCTAAAATTTTTAACCTTCCCAGTAGTAACAGGGCTCTGTTTGCTAACACATAAGGCGGTTGTAATGATATACAATACAGATTCAAGACGCGATATTAACACATAGAAAAATTACGCTCTTCTCGGAAGCCTTCTCGGAAGTATGGTTGATATACATCCAGAAAATCTTTGGGGTTACTTTAACCACTCTTGATGAAGATGTAAATTCGAGTTGCGACTCCAGAGAACGAAGAAGAAAACAATAATAATAAGTATGAAATTAATAATGAAACAAAACAGAGCCGCTTCGCAATGAAACACCTGTTGAGCCTGAAAATAACTCACCCCCTCAAGGTTGTCTTCATTCCATCCTTCTAAGGGAGGAATTTCTTCAGGTTGAGGATTAATTGTTCTGTCTTGCTCACCAATGCATGCACTTGATTCTACAGAAAATGCGACTCTACCTGGGTCGCTGTGGATGACCCTGCACTCAGTTATGAAGTCACAAAATCATCTACATAGCTAACATCTAGGCAAAACATCCTACAATAAATGCTTAGGTAGAATAAGCATGATGTCTGCCCATAATTGACCTAAATAAGATGGAGACTATTTCCTGTACCAAAATGAAATAAGTTGTTTCATTCATAGGAAGAAAAGTTTGTCGATACATTATAAAAGAGAGACTTCGATGATCTGAACTTGACTACAAATTGAGGGTTTTGAAATCTATACTTGCATGCAAGAACTGAAGCCAAACTCGATCGAAAAATGAGTAACACCGTGATAGATAGCAGTATCTGGAGGAATAACTAACCTCCAATACAAAACCAGCAAGGTGATAGCTCCAAAAGCAAATGCCACCTCCAACCCTGCATTAATGGCTGCAACAAGATGTTTTGAGTTCCAGACACTGATTGAAGACAAATAGTCAATTCTGGTACTTGCAACAGTTGCAACCAAATGATTTGACCAAACCTTCGTGCAAGTCTGGGTACATTACATAATATAAATAAACCTTCGCAAATACAGAAATAAGGAACCTTACCAGGACGAAGAACTACGATAAAGGTGACAATGTCTGTGATAACCACGGCTGTAACAAATGACGGGGCAAATACAGGATCATGCAGCTGCTTTGCGCAGCTCTTGAGAATGACGATCCAAATAGCAAGTGGCAAAACTGCGAAAAAAATCGTGAATACATTATCGAAAATATAAAAAATTCCCATCTCTAAAAAAGTAAACCAATTAATGTCCTTACATTTCCAAGTTAGCTTTCCTTAGGCAAGAGTTCAACAGCCACTGCATCAGTCGTCTCCAAAGTTCAAAAGCAGAATTCATCTTCTCCAACAATCGAAAGAGCAACCAAACGTTTTGTTGCCACAATCAGAAAACCCTAAGCTTATATTGTCTCGATTTAATTCCGGAAACAACTCCCAAATGCCATCTCCCACAAACAGTGGAGTGATTTAACAGAACCAGACCAGCTGTTAGGCATGCATAATGTCCAACTTGAATTGGACATAGTTCAAAAACGACTATAACAGGGACAGATCACTCTACACACACACACACACACAACAACAACAACAACAAAATAAAATAAAAAGAAAAAGAAAAAAAAGAAAGAAAGAAAGAAAGAAAAAGAGGATATAGTGGACTGGCATGTTTGGAAACGAGCCATACATCTCCTGCATTCTTCTAATAATAAATAATAAACAACAAAACCCACACCGGCGTAGATATTTACCGACAAACAGGAAAGCAAATTGCAGGGAATCCGTCTTCCAAGCATGAACTGCTGCCACCACAATGGAGAACATGGCTGAAGGCAGCAGCCATGGCAGTATCAAAGGCACATACTGGTAGTAGTAGTTCATCTTCCATACCGGCACTCTCGTCTCCTCAAATCGGAGCGGAATCCGAGGCACAGGTGGATTTGTGTAGACCATCACTGCTGAGTGCGTTCCGCTTCGAAGAAACACGTAATCGAAACATCAAAAGGGTAGCGCACCGGCCGAAAGGAGCCTTTGTAACGTCTGCAGTTAGACACCCATGGCCTTTCAATTCAACCCGTCAAATTGTTCTCTGAAGAAACTTCGCACAGTCCACAACAATCGCCCTCCAACTAAAACCTCTCGTAGGGGTCCACACTCGTCTGCAACAAACAAAAAGCCAATTGAGTAACGAGGAATTGCAACGATAGGCGAAAGCCATTCGCGAACAGAACCATCGGCCTTCCTTGCCATTCAAAACCATGTCCCTCCTTACGAACTTAGAAACTGGCTTTCTCGAAAAGCCCGGTACCCGGCCTTCCCACCCGGCTCTAATACCCGGAACCGCTGCTTGGGGAATACGGGTATGTGTGCAGGTGTCAATCCCATTGGGAACGTGCACGGGAGAGAATGAGAACCAGGGGGAACAGGGAACTGAACATTCTATTATATAGTAGAACATGGTGTGTAATGCGGTCATGCTTTTCTTTTCTTTTTCTTTTTTTGTATTAATTTGGGGCAATGTGGATCAGTAGTTAAAACCTTTTGGATCCTAGTAAAACCTTTGAAGCATAGATTTAGTATATTTTTGTAGTTACAATAGTTGGCTCTAATAAGACTTGCATGAGATCATGGACTATGTTTTTGAACCAAATGCAAAATCATTGAATCTTTGGAGCATTGTAATATTGACAACTCCATTCATTTTTGTGAAAGTAAATTTCACTCTTCAACCCCAATTATAAGATGGCCTCAATTAAGAATTGCTTATAATAGGTGGTGTGAAGTGGAATAAGCAATTGGTAAAAATCAGGAGGAACAACCACAATACAAGTGAGAGAAATGAAATCAAGTAATCACTATTGAGAATGTTTAGAAAGACACAAGAGTAATAGTAAGTCATACTTACACAAGAGTAGTAGTAAGTCATACACACACAAGGGTTTCTAAGGAGAGAGAGCTTCACACACACAAAAATCTATTGATCTGGTTGTATCTCGTACACAAGAAGAGAGAAGATAAGAGGATGAACAATACTTCTCCACTAGACTCTAAATACTGTAGCTACAGTAATTACTATAGTCTACAGTAAATATTATGGAGAGCGTTGGCTACATTTAATGATCTCAACACTCCTCTTCGCTCATCATAATATTTATATAATATAAAATTTATATAGATTTATGATCTATACTTTTCTGTGATCTTGTAAGATCAAGAATTGTTGCCTCATTAAAACCTTATTTAGGAAAACCTTATTTTATTTAAGGACAAAACCATAGATGAAAGAAAAAGAGTACAACATCATTTTCTTTAATTATTTAAAGAGCTCTTTAACTTTCTTATTCAAAAAAAGTAAGTCGCTGCATACTAATGCCATAAGTAAGTCGACGATGATTGCTTAATGGCAGAGCTTTGGTGAAGAGATTAGCAAGGTTATTTGTAGATTCAATTTTCTTAATTATAAGTGTTTGATCAGTAATCAAGTCATGAGTATAACTAAAATACTTTGGATCAATATGCTTTGTCCTGTCGCCTTTAATGAAACCAACTTGCATCTGTGCAATACAAGCACTATTATCTTCATGCAAGATAGTTGAAGAATCATCATATGAAAATCTACAGGTTGTTTGAATGAATTTATCAATTGATCACAACCAAATACATTCTCGAGATGCTTCATGTAAGGCAATAATTTCTGCATGGTTGGATGAAGTTGCAGTTATTGTTTGTTTCATTGATTTCCATGATATTGCAACTCCATGTCTTAAAAATACATATCTTGTTTGAGATTTAGTTGTTACAATATCAGATTTATATCTTGCATCACAATATCCAACCAATTTTGAATCTGCAGATTTTGTGTAATATAATCCCAAGTCTTCAAAACCTTTTAAATAACGTAATAAATATTTGATACCATTCCAATGTTGTAGTGTTGGACGTGCACTATGTCTTGCAAGAACATTAACAGCAAATGCAATATCTGGTCTTGTAGATGTAGCTAAATACAAAAGTGCTCCAACCGCTACGAGGTATGGATATTGGTCTCCCAATATTTCCTCCTCCTCCTCGCATGGACGGTATGGATCATGACCATCACGACCACGTCCAACCATTGGTGTGGACAATGGATAAGCATCATTCATATTAAATCTTTGCAAAATTCGTCTAATATACATTAGTTGGTAGAGAAAAATGCTACCATCTGTAAGATGCATAATCTGAAGACCAATGCAGAAAGTTGTTTTTCCTAGCATTTTCATCTAAAATTCACGTATAAGTAGGTTTGTAGTTGTAACACATGCAGATGTAATGACCACTAGGTTAAGATCATCAGCATATACAGCGATGATCACAAAACCAGTTTTATCTCATTTGATAAACAAACAAGGGATTAGTGGATCACTTATAAAATTATTTTTAATTAAATAATCTCGAAGACGTTGATACCACATTCATCCAGATTGTTTTAAACCATACAAGGCCTTACATAATTTAATACCACAATATTTTCCTGGAGCGGATTGATTTGGAGTTCCTATTTCTAAGCCAGGTGGAACTTTCATATAAATATTTGCATCAAGAGAACCATATAGATATGCAGTAACTACATCCATCACATGCATCTCAAGGGTGGCATGAACTGTCATTCCAATAATATATCGAAATGTAATTGAATCCATGACTAGATAATATGTGGATTCATAATCAATGCCAAATCGTTGAAAAAATCCTTAAGCAAGAAGACGAGCTTTATAGCGAGTTATTTGGCCTTGAGCATCTCGCTTGCATATTAATTCCATTTTATATCCCACAGGGCGAGATGTAAGAGTGTCTACAATTGGACCAAAGACTTTTCTCTTACGCAAAGAGGCATACTCTTCCTCAATAGCAGTTTTCCATTTTGACCAATCAGAGCGACGCATCCCCTCTTCGATGGTTTGAGGTTCAGGATCGTCTTCTTCACAAGAAAGGGCTTCTATAATCATATATGCAAATAATTCATCTACCGTAATAGATGGTCTGTCCCAAATATCATCTGTAGCACAATACAGAATAGATAATTCTTTATTCAACTTGTTCTTATTTCTTCCAGTTCCAAGATTATTTTTCATAAGAATTGAAGGTACATTATGCATGGATATATCATCATGAATTGGTAGTCCTGCAAGATGAGTGGCAATTTCTTGAAAAATAATACCAAGATTAGTTAATTTTATAGCTTTCTTCTTACGTGGTTGCTTATCTGGTCCACGAGTTCTTTTAGTTGTTGTTGTTATAACTTAAGGTATTGTAGTCAATGGCACTGCAATCTGAGCAGGTGCATTCTGAGCCTCATTAATAGGAACTCTTGTAATTCTAGGTGCATCATTGAAGCCATCAGGTGTTTCATCTGCGATCCGTTTTAAATGCAAAATCTTAGCAACTTCAGTTTTTGCCAAAGATGTCATAGGATCGGAATTCATTGTAAATATTTCTAGTGCTTTAAATATGAGTACTTTATTTCTTTGTTGATTGGATACTCCTCCTTGAAGAGATGGGAATATAGTTTCTTCAAAACGTCAATTTTGCAAACGTGCATGTAATAATGTGTAAGTTGATGGATCAACAATACGAATAATGCTTGGTGAATCAAAACCAACATATATGCCTTCTTGTTGATGAGCTCCACTGGTACGTCGTTGAGGTTCTGGTACAAAATCCAAGCACGGCAACCAAATACTCGTAAGTGAGATACATTTGGAACACGACCCAAAATGAGCTCATGTAGTGAAACAGTTTCAAGAGGAGAAGGGCGGAGGCATATTAATGCTGCAGCATGTAAAACTGCATGACCCTACATAGATGTAGGTAGATTTATGTGAAGGAGGAGTGGCCGCGTAATGAGTTGTATACGCTTTATAAATGACTCTGCAAGTCCATTTTGAGCATGTTCATATGGAACACAATATGTCAATTCAATTCCTGTTGCAATACAATAGTCTTCAAAAGACTTTGATGCAAATTCTTTTGCATTATCCATACACAATGTTTTTATAGGATAATTAGGAAAATATGCCCGAAAGTGAATAAGCATAGATATAAGATTGGCAAACACCATGTTTCGAGTTGATAATAATGAAACATGTGATTGTTTACCTGATGCATCAACAAAGACTAAAAAATAACAAAATGGTCCTGATGTTGGATTAATAGGACCACAAATATCACCATGCAATCTTTCAAGCATTGGTGGTAATTCTTGTAGAAGTTTCCAAATTGAAAGCCGAGTAATCATTTTACCTTGCATATAGGCACGACATAATTCCATAGAGTCTACATCTGCAGGCTTTAAATTGTGCCAAGTTATACATGGAATGATCTTTCTAAATAATGTGGATCCTGGATGTCCCAATCGTCTATGCTAGAGAGAAACACGACTCTCTGAGATAGATGATGCAAAATTAAATATAATGGGAGGCCGAATCACAATTCGGTATAAACCATTTTCTATAGCAAAAGCTTTTTCAACAACTTTATGGTTCTTCACAAGAACCAAAACTTCTTTTCTATTTAAAGTGGCGATCGAGAGGTGATAACCATTAATACGCACATCTCGGTAGCTAATCAGACTTCGAGGTGTTGAGGGTGCAAACATCGCATGTTTACATTTTATGATGCAACCCGCAGGTAATTTTACCATCGCTGTACCCTCTTGGAAACAAAACACATTTGTTCCAGCCATGGTCATCATATTTTTAGTTTGCCAAGTTGAAGATTTTTTAATAAAAAATTGTCTATCTCACAAGATAGTATGTGTTGTTGCAGAATCAATGAGTGCATCATTTGATTCATCATTAGAGGTTCTATCAGTCATATAAGCATCTAAGTCATCAACACCAATTGAATCCATGGACGCATCCATGGTATGAACTTCATGAGCCTCAGCTCGTAATTTTTTATTTTCTTGGAACATTTTAATAAAATATTCTGAAGTACGGCACACATAAGCTAAATGTCCAATCATTCCACACTTATAGCAAGAACGCATCTCTGATTTTTTTTTTCTACTATAATTAATAGTAGAATATTTATTCTTTCCATATAGATAGAAATGGTCTTGACTATGATTACCTTGATACTTATGAGCACGTTTCCTATGTTTATATAATTTCTTCTTAGACTTTAAAATATTAAATGCATGAGATTCAGGAATTATAGTTCCAATAGGACGAGCTTTCGCATTGCGCAAGAGTAGCTCATTTTGCTTCTCTGCAAGAAGT